CAGAAATCGAGACTCATCAGACCAGGCAACATTTTTCCAGTCTTCAACTGTTCAATTTTGGTGAGCTCTTGCAAATTGTAGCCTCTTTTTCCTATTTGTAGTGGAGATGAGTGGTACCCGGTGGAGTCTTCTGCTGTTGTAGCCCATCCGCCTCAAGGTTGTGCGTGTTGTGGCTTCACAAATGCTTTGCTGCATACCTCGGTTGTAACGAGTGGTTATTTCAGTCACTGTTGCCCTTCTATCAGCTCGAACCAGTCTGGCCATTCTCCTCTGACCTCTGGCATCAACAAGGCATTTCCGCCCACAGAACTGCCGCTCACTGGATGTTTTTTCTTTTTCGGACCATTCTCTGTAAACCCTAGAGATGGTTGTGCGTGAAAATCCCAGTAGATTAGCAGTTTCTGAAATACTCAGACCAGCCCTTCTGGCACCAACAATCATGCCACGTTCAAAGTCACTCAAATCACCTTTCTTCCCCATACTGATGCTCGGTTTGAACTGCAGGAGATTGTCTTGACCATGTCTACATGCCTAAATGCACTGAGTTGCCGCCATGTGATTGGCTGCTTAGAAATTAAGTGTTAACGAGCAGTTGGACAGGTGTACCTAATAAAGTGGCCGGTGAGTGTATATATATATATATATATATATATATATATATATATATATATATATATATATATATATATATACCGTAATTCCTCAAATAAAAGCCGGGGCCTTTATTTACCTAAACTGCAGAAGGTACCAGGCTTTTATTTGAAGCAGGCTTTTATTAGAGGCAGGCCTTTATTTAAAAAAAATCAAAATCAAATTTCCGTCTGGGTTCCATGCTCCTCAAGACAATTTCGTTTTCAATAAAGTTGTTAAAAAGACAGTCATACTAGCAACACTAAATTATATGTGTGTTACATCCCCTGCAAACAAGCCCGCACTGGCCCTTTACGGGCCCACTTAGGGCTAGCCTAAGGGCCCCCAGCAGGCTGCCACCGCAGGGCCCATGAGAATTTGCTCATTGGCAAAACGTTGGCCCTGCATGGGCAGCCCTCACTTAGCCCCCAGGAAGCCCTCACTAAGCCCATAGGAAGCCCTCACTAAGCCCACACAGGGCACACACAGCCCGCACTATTTTTTATTTTTTTTTAACCGTTGGCGGATTCATTGTATTGTTAATGTATTATATCTTGTATGTTCATTGTATTTATTATATTTTGTATTTCATGTGGAACTTTTATTGTGGCTTACTTGGCCAGGGCTCCTTCGCAAAAGAGATTTGTTCTCAAAGGATTTCCCTGGTTAAATAAGGGTTAAATAAAATAAAATTAATTAATCTACAACAATAACTGTTTCACTATAAATACTTGTTGGCGGCTACTATAACTATAAGTCTTTGGGAAAAACAATTATTCTATACATCTGAAATTAATGCAGTCACCACATAACTAATTTCTGTATTGTCAAAAATGTACAGTAGTCAAAGGGATTTCAAATCAATGTATTTATTAATCACAAAATATAAAAGATTCAATTCAGGTTAAAGGTGCATTGCGCAACATTTAATGTTAAAAATACCCATTTTTCTAACCCTTACATGCTTAAACAATTGCCTGATTGGGCTGAATGAGCCCTTCTCTCATCACTGCGATTGCCTCTATAATCCTGTACAGTAAAATAAATAAGAGGGATTCGGGACGGAATTTGAGACTGGGCGTGACATCATGCGCGTTCACGCTCACCTGGCTATGTCTGGCAGGTTTGTTTATTCGCCGCCATTCTCCGTATCAGCGAAGATAACCTGAAGACAACTCGAGCGACAAAACTTTAGTCAACTTTCGACAAAAGTAAGATGGATTCAAAGAGACCGGCTTGTAGTTCATCCAAATGCAGTTTCACTTGTCGCCAAAGGGGGCATAGTTCTGCAAAAACTCAGAGACTTGCGCAATGCACCTTTAATACAGGTTAATAAAGCTAATTTAACACTCTGAAAGGGACTAAAAATCCTCTATACAAATATAAAAATAATTCAAATAAACATAAAAATACCAAATTACTTCGACCTTTGCTGAAAATATGTTTGGTGTGCTAATTATTCAGTTGCAGTCTTCCCCCGAGGTCTCTTGACTAGTCAGCAGACGGTGGTAGCGCTCCTTTCGTCCACCCGCTCTGTCTCTTGAATTCCGCAGCCACACCTTTATCTCACTCTCAATTTCAGAATCACGAGGACTTGGCTGAAAGGAACATTTTCTTACAGCCTCTGAAAAGCAAATAGGCATGAAACAACACTGTGTATGGGAAGTAATTAATATATGCCATTTCCAATACCACATGCTTGCTTACCTGTTACAACCCTCCTTAGCCTCAGGTTCTGAAAAGGTCTCTTTTGGTTTGAGCCATTCCAGTTCAACTGAGTGGCTAAAGAATGGCCAATCAATGTTGTCAGTATTCTCCTAGTTGCTACCTGGGCATTACACCCACCAATGGTTCCTAGATAGGCAGTCTAACAGGAAGGAACATACACACATAAAAAAGTGATTTGCATTGGTAAAAATTAGGCTCAGGACAAAACATTTTTTAAAGCTTTCAGTCTGTGAAAAGTACAGTTTTAGTTATAGCAGAAAGTTAGGGTAGGTTCTCAAAAGCAATTTCTTTGAAATTTCTCTGCAACACTTTGTTGAGAAGCTACAGTTGTTAGCCACTAGTTGATCAGGACAATGGGTCAATTCCCAGGCAAAGGACTGTAGATGCTAGGGCTGTGCTCAGAATATCAATACAACGATACATCGTCATGAACTCCTGGCGATGTGCGTATCGATACAGCAGTTATCGTTACTGTCGTGCTTTTGAATGTAGCCAATTCAGGGCTGGAATTTTGGCGCGAGATTGCAGGTATTGCGCATAATTTTAATCATTCCCGCAGCTCTCCCACTTATAATGCGGGAAAATCCCGCAAACATTGATTCACTTTAGCATGTAGGTCAGGGATCGGGAACCCTTTTTGACCAAAGAGCCATTTTTTCATTTTTGGTTAATGCATTTTTCCAAAAGAGCCACAGTAAAAATATATATATATTATTATTAAAGACGTGCTTTTTTTCAATACAATTTCAACAGCAGTAGGCTAATTAGTAGGTCCATAGACAACTAAAAACAAACAAATATTCAGCAAGCAATAAAGTTTCAATACGTATTAATTGTGAAGGGATTTAACTGTGACTGTGAGGTTGAGTTACCAAATGATGAACATAAATCCTCTCTGTCTGCATGTGTGTGAATACTCGACTTGGCATTTTGATATATTTTTGTGTTTATTTGGCCGTTTAGGTGCGCAACCGAAGACAAAGGCTATGCTTGTCCATGTTGCGCTCGGAGCGCACAGCATCCTGCCAGTAGAATTCCAGTAGAATTCCATTCTCTTTCCCGACTTATCGCGCTTTTAATATTTATTTTCAATATAAAGCACATCCTGCTCTTTTTTTTTTCTTATTTTGACCAGGGCAAAAATGTCGGTCTTGGTAAGTATCCTCTAAACACAGTTGGTTATGTCTTAAATAAGCATAAAAGTTTTTAACAGAAACGGCAATTTCCCGGTTGTATGATGAAGTTAAGCGAGATATTCTGCTGTCACTCTCTTAACCCTGAGCATGTCGATCAATTGTTGTTTCTGCATAAAAATCTGTAAATGTAATCATTTAGAATGATTTCAACGTAGAAGAAATTACTTTGTTTGGTGCAGATTCCAACACTTAAGACCAAATTGTTAAATACTAAGTGTTTAAAAGAGTTTGAGAAAACTAAGTTAAATTTAAGTTGTTACCATTTCTGCTTTTATGGAATGTTTTAAGTTTAGTTTAGTCATTGAGCAGTGTAGACATGCTTCAGTGTCGCTATAATTGTCATTTCAGTTGAGGCAGACTTTAAAAGCAGAAGGAAGAGCCATTCTAAGCTTTTTATTTATTTATTTAACTCAGTGTTTTTTTAATGACAAAAACTAAAGTGTTTTTTTAATGACAAAAACTAAATTGTTTTTCAGTTATCACAACTGTTATAACACTGGTTATTCAATAAACAGATATTACTGTTACTAAACTCAGCTCAAAAGACATTTTAATTCCAAATTGATCAATATCGTGATGCGTATCGTGTCGTGATGCGTATCATATCGTGACATTGTTGGTGATACACAGACCTAGTAGATACACTATGGACAAAGTATGTGGACCCATTGACTTGGCTCCCCCTTTGCAGTTGCAACAACTTTCACAAATACTCTTGTGGATGTATGAGCATAAGATTTAAAAATGAAAAAATAATAATAATAATAATCATATTTTTACACATTAAATTGACCAAAAGAGAGAGTAAGCATTTCTTTTTCAAATAAATGCTGTTTTTTTTTACTTTCTATTCATCAAATAATCCTGAAAACACAAAAATATGAAGCAGCATAACTGTTTTCAACACTGATAATAATCATAAATGTTTCTTGAGCATCAAATCATCATATTAAAATGATTTCTGAAGGATGATGTGAAGCTGTGATGCTGAAAATTCAGCTTTGATCACAGGAATTAATTACATTTTACAATATATTCACATAGAAAACAGTATTATTAACAATATTAACAATACTATTGTTTTTAATGCTGTCTTGGTGAACATAAGAGACATAAACATTTGTACCAACACAATTAGTGTATGTTTGACATAGTGTATGTTTGACGTTTTACTTACTAATCATATGGTTGATCAATAGTGCTTTAGAGATGATGATCAGCTCCACTCTGCTACGGTGCAGGGCATCAGCATGGAAGGATCTAGGAACACAACAAGCCATTTGTCACAGAGCCAACAATATTATTATACAATGCCAGGTTTATTAAAAGGAAAGAAGCTACAGCACAGGTGAAATGCAGAAAAGAGAAAGAATATAAAGAATAAACAGAAAATAATTTCTTAATTAGGATAACAGAATTTGTTTTTGGGTTTACTTATTCATTTAATATTGATCATTAGGGTTGGGTATCGTTTGAATTTGAACGATTCCAATTCCGATTCCGATTCCTTGTTTCGATTCCGGTTCCTAACGATTCTCAATTCCGATTCTTTTAAGAGGCAGGGTCAAAAAAGTTTAGCTAACCAACGGTCTTTCTGAGGGAAATACTCTGACCTTCTCCATCAATTTTAATTCTATGAACTTTTTACTTTTTATTAACTTTACAATGAATTTCTCACAGGGCTGTTTTCAACTACAATATAAATATCAAATCTATGAACTTGAATATAAATATTATAAATTATGAATATATTTTCACAGGCGTACACTTCCCTCGAGAGCTTTATTTTTGAAAACACATTTACACGAGTGTATGATGCTGCAGGTACATGTAACCGTGCTCCCACTGATGGGCTAACCTGGTGCAGAATAGCAAATAAACAATAAGAAACAAACAACTTGTAAAAAACAGTCCAGATTAGCAGCAGGTACAGTATAAAATCAAAAACAGTTCTTGTTTAGGAAAATGATCATATCTGCCTTCTCAGGCAGGATGCGTGAACGTTCTGAACAGATAGTATCTCCTGCTGTGGAGAAAACACGTTCGCTGGGTGTAGAAGAAGCTTGAACGCATAAATACGAGAAAGCTAGATTTGACAGCAAAGGATAAGTATTTTGTTGGTTCCACCACCATGCAGCAGGGTCCTCAGACATAAGGACCGGTGGAACTTCCTGGTATATCTGCAGCTCTCTCTCCACTCGTTTCTTGATGGACGTGGAGCTCTGCTGTGACACTATGTTCTGTGCCTCTTCCTCAGCGAACAACTCCTCCAGTGGAGTCTTCCTGGGCAGTTTGCAGGGAGGCTGTTGCTAAAAAACTAAACAAAAGGTTCATCAGTATTATCACTAAAAAAAGGGAAAACCTCCATTAAAAGCATGATCATTATTTAAATTGAAAACCTATATAATATCAGCTATATCGTACACTTACACTCTCCTGCTCATCCTCATTCTCAGACTGCATGGTGTCCCCATCAGCTCCACCGTCTTCCTTGGTTGACTACAAAGAACTTAATTAGCATTTAGATCTTAGATTTTAATAGCTGAAAAAGGACAGTTGTGCATTTCACCTGTTCAATCAGATTTCTCTGGATCTGGTCCCAGATGGTGTCATTATCCAATTTATGTTTAAAGCGTGGATCCAACGCAGTGGCCACTTGGAGAAAGTTCCTGATCTCATCATTCTGCAAAACACATGTTCTTTAAATGTTTCAACAAGCCACAGGATATTTCTATTCTAGAACAATTTCTTTCCAGGTGCCCTGCCTCAGTCAATTACCTGGTAGCGCTTGGATAGGTTTGCCCAAACCTGTTTTTTAAGGTTTGACACAAAGACTGTGTCTCCCTCTTTTACAGCCAAGTGTGCCTCAAGCTTTTTGAGGATAGGCAGAATCTGTCCGCATGTGGGACTCTTTTCGGAGGACACACAGAGTGTTGAGGTGTAGAACACCTTCATCAAGTTGAGGAAATCTTCAGCTTTCCTAAAATCCTCCTCAGTTAGCCGAGCAAGTCTGTAAAATAATTAAGAACATCTAGATTGGAGATATAAATATTCTCTTTTTTTCTTAACAAAACACCTAACATATGTATTCCCTACATTAGCACATTCACTCTAATACTGTTCTTTGAATTCATATTTTGTGTGTACTGATATTTTTTGTCTAAACTTGTCTTAGACAAGTTTAGACAAAAAATACCAGTACACACAAAATACGAATTCTGTCTATCTATCTCTACCTGTCCCTATCCATATTTTTTCTCAGCCGTTGATCCAAGCTGGCTGCTTGAATTGCAGGGTACTGCTCTGTGAATCTCTCCAGCATTAGATACAGAGAGTTCCATCGTGTTCTCACATCTAGTATGAGTGAGTGTCGGGACAGCTCTGACAAAAACAAGAACATCAATTTTAAGTCATATAACAGATGCTTTTCATCCTAGGAGACAAACAATACTTTTGTAAAATTGGATTCTGCAGAGCTGATAAATAATAATAAGATAGATCAGACATATAAAGTCATTACGTGTCAATGCACAACAGTTAAATAAAGTGAACTTTGTGTGTCTTACGTAGAAGTTGTTGCTTCTCTTGGAGAACCACCTTGGCCATTGAGCACCTCTTCATCCACACAACAATGGTTCGGACCTTGGCCACCCACTGACTCACTGAATTTAGGGAGAATAGACTTTGTGCTGCTAAATTAAGTGTGTGGGCGAAACAGCACAGTTTTACAAATCGCATGTGCTTAATAGCCACATCCATGTTGGCAGCATTATCTACAGTGACTGCTACAATTTTATCAGATATGCCAAACTCTGACAAAACATCACTAATTTCCTCTGCAACAACACAACCGGTCTGTGCTTTGTACACAGCCTTTGTTTTTAGCACTTTTTGCTGCATTTTGCCCTCTGCTATGTAATGTGCTGTGATGGTGAGGTAGTGGTCCTGTGTGATGCTACTCCAGCCATCACATGTGAGTGCAACAGCGCTGACTTCACTGAGCTCTGTAATAACATTAGACTTCTCAACCTTGTACCACGATGGGATTAATGTGTTTGACAGGTAGTCCCTGGAAGGTGGTGTGTATTTGGGGTTTAGAGTTTTCACCATGTCCCTGCACACATAAACAAACATGTAATGTTGCTGTTACTGTTTAGGGGATTGCTAACTAAGTTAGCAATTTTGTTGGTTGCAATGCAATTTCCCATTGCCTGGCAACTATGCTTTTGGGAAACGCACCGTAGCTCAGTATCAATAAGCTTAGCTCTATCGTTATTGCTTAACTAACCTAAATGTTGGTGATTCCACCTCTGAAAAGGGATGCAGCCTTTTCACGATGTGTGCAGTGACCTTTCTGTGGCACTCTTCTTTTTGTTGCACCGACATCTTCCCCCTTGCCGCTATGATGAACGGATTAGACTCAGCACATCGCGGAGTCGTGGAGTCATGGCTAACGTTCGCGATCTCAGGTCGTAAATTGTCTATGAAAAATACGTGGGATAATTTGTTAGCTGCCTCAATGTTGGCGCAAGATGTATTATTTATTGTATATGGATTGTTTTACTTACCGGATTCAGACTGCAGTGCAGTCACTGCGGTGCCAGGCTGGGGGTCAGAGCCAGAGGAAGAGGCAGCAGAGGAAGAGGCAGTGGAGGACGGTCGGCGCAGCGCGTCAAAGACGGGGCACACATTTATTTGTACTCCATGCAATCGGAGGGGATTTATCATGTTCGTCGTGCACCCTTCGATGCACGAAACATTCTTGTCACAAATGTTACATTTTGCCGAGATTTCGTTATTTTTAGAAAAGTGAAGCCACACTTTGGACCGCCGACGCAAGCTATTCATGTTCGATTCACGCGGTTATGCCAACACTTCCGGTGGACGCTTCTTCGTTGGTGTTCAGCAGTTTCTTCTTCCGGTCGGCGGACTGTGAATATCGAAACTAGGAATCGAAATTTAAACTTTTGAACGATTCCGGGAAAATCGAAAAGTTAGTCCCGGTTCCAATCGATACTCGATACTCGATACCCAACCCTATTGATCATACAGTGTAACTTACTTTTGGATATCAATAAATTAAACAAATAAAAAATGTAAATTTGAGAAATTAAAAAAAAATAAGAAAATAACAGATGCATGGTGATATAGGTGAAACATATTGTGATAAAATGGATATGAGGTTATTTAATGAGCTTCCTCGGTTCACCTGTGTTTCCTACTTCTCTGACAGCAGCTTTCTTCAGAAATGTTGAAGTCGTGGAGCTTTCTCTCTGTTATGGGCTATTTTGTTACTACTGAAATCACAGACATTTTTTTTTATCAGTATTTGTTTACCATTGAGCTAGTTTCAGCCAATTTTCTCGCTCCGTGTAACGTTAAGAACATCACCGATTAACTGTTAACGTTACATACGTTTATGTTTACGTTTGTGTTAAATAAATTAGCTCACTTCCAAGTAAAACCTTTACAAAACCTCTCATCTACACATAAGAGATTATTAAAAGCCCAAACTTTCATAAATAAAAGCTCAACCGAGTTAGTGCTAACGTTAACGTTAGCTTAGCTAGCTAACGTTACCTCTTCTGAAAACGGTTGAGATGCTAACGGACTTTTCCCGAAGACACTAAACCATGTCTATAAAGTAAATATTCAACAGAAGCGTGTCAATTACAAGTAAGAGAAATGTCAAAAACAGTTGTGTGTATTATTCGTGTGTTTTTAGAGACTAATCTCACCTGAAAGTAGTGAAAACAACAGCGAGAGAGGGAGTTTTGTTTTCTGCCAGTAACAGTGGTCCCGCGCCGTTTCCATGGCAACTCTGCGCCGCGGCCGCTCCAGTGTTTGAGAGCGACTCGAAAGTTCACGCGCATGGCCATTGATTACCACCACGTCAAAATCGTGCAGCACTTAAATAAAAATCTAATTAATATTAAATTATGAATGTAGAACTGATTTTGGAGATCTATGACTAGTTTCATAGGTGCAATGGCCTATACCCACACATAATATACTGCGGTCACAAGAATAATAAAAATAAAATAAAAACTTTTGACCGCATTAATTATTCATTAGTTATTTTTTCTAAAGTATAGGCCTACTTCTGGTAAGTGTTCATTGCTTTTACCCCGGGCTTAAATTAAAAAGATGTCTGTGAAAAATAGTTTAATTTAATTTAATGCATTTATGGTGAGATTATATTTTCATGTTCATTTTGACCACGAACCATGCGCTGTCACTTTAATTCATCGCGTGCAGCCATTCATCCCTTTAAAGCAGCACTCAGTAAGAATTCCGTTTTTGTCAAACAGCGACCCCTAGAGTCGCTGTGGAGCACTTGTACTGTCGTGAATAGCACTCACGCAGAGATGGCTCCATAGCAGAGCCATCTCATTGGAACTCAGTTGAGACAGTTGAAGCCCATTTTTAGCGATTTCTGAGCACTTCCGTTCCTGACGCGCAGACTCAAACCGACTCAAACTAAGCTTGATGACGTGAGCAACCTGTCTGACAGACGTTAATCTTCTAGGAGCTGTGCGTGAAAATTGCCAACGTTAATCTTGCAGAGACGGGGAACTTGAGCAAAGAGTTCTTTGGCGTGAGTGAGCAGGAGTAAGTATTCCGTTGCTTTTATGGACTCATTATCTATGGGCTTCTCCCTTGACGGGACGTCCCCCCGATTGCCCGCGAGCTTCTCCTCCTGTCTGTACGGTAATTTCTGTACAGCGCGACAGAGAGTCGAGTGGTTATGACGCAATCGTTAGCCTATTTTTACTAAAACTGTTTCTACGGGGCCATAATGTAACATAGAAGGTAATGGAGCCCTTTATACATTGTCGTGTTTCTTTAGAAATAAATAATGGACAAATGGAGTCTTTAAACGCCTCAGATGTAAAGTTATTCGCTGTCAAAGTGACGCCAAAATGAATGGGAGTCAATGGGAATGCTAACGCAAGTGAAGTTCTGCTACAACATGGCGGCACCCGGCCGGCTTCAACTTCCGGTCGATGGATTACCCCCTTGGATGGCTCGCACTCACGGCCGGATCCCCTCCCCCTGTACACCAGTACCTGTTCGGTAGGATGGACGCTGAAACGAGTGGAAATAAGGTATGGCCCCTTTAAGAGCTGCGCGCGCCCAACACCACATGTATACGGCGCCGGGTTATTTCCGTTTGATGCTCATTTTATCAGAATTTTATCAGATCTGTTTTTTTGCCGTAAAGCAATTCGTTACCTCGCGAGACCTGATATCACACGATACTTCCTAACACTCAGGCCGGCGGCTCGCCGGCCCAAAGTTGCAAGGGTGGTTTTGCGGCTCACAGGCACCAGGGGGGTGCGAGACGACCACCATTCAACACGAAATCAGTAATATAAACATTACAATGACTCCAAAGCTGTTCGGTTAAGGTAAAAAAGTTACTTAGTTCACCTTTAAAACAAACGATAAATAGTGCTGATCGATCATGTATGTGTCAGGATTCAGGCTCGGAGACAGAGGTAAGTGATAAACATAAATGTATCTTTATTTAACTCAAAGGTAAGTATGCAGGGTTTCGGGAGTTCAACGGTGATCTCAAAGAGGATATATGTGGCAGGAATGCATCCAGGTGAGTGAATCCTCTTCTTAAGGAATAACGTGGCGGGTAACACAGATCAATAACTTGAGTTTTTCTCTCTTTTCAGATCGTTCGTGGATAGGCGTGATTCAGGAAGGATTCCAGGTGAGTAGATCCTTTGAAGTGCACTTGACAATGAGCTCACCAGTTCAGTGATACTTTCACTTTCTCTTGCAGCTCATCCAGTGGGAAACGGGACTCGTGGCGGATTCCAGGAAACGGAGAACATGAGTCATGGAGCGGATCCTGGGAACATCAGAACAAGGACAACAAGGTTAGTTTCCTTCAGGTAAGTATACTTTACGTCCGTTGCTGAAGGATGGCTCAGAGTGAGACAAGTGGTGACTGGTAAGGGTCGTTCCTGTTGGAGGCTTGACAATGACTGGGAGTGAATCGGGTGCTTTTGTGCTGGCTAGGAAGTGAGTGCTGAGTGGAAACAGGTGCAGGTGATCAGTAATCTGGGGACAGTGATCTTTGCGTGGTGACATGTGAGGGATCTGATTGGCTCCTGACAGTATGAGATGGGGAGTTTTAAATTGTGCAGCCTAGGCTACAGCTCTACTAGGCCTATGTCCAAAAAGACCAGCCATTTGTGCCCATTTCTCATATTTTTATCACATCCTTTATCAAAATGGTTATAATAATTTGTATAAGTTAATAACAAAAGAGCCTATATAAATTACATGAAAAATAGCACTATTATCCAAAGAGAGTTTTTAAGGGATCATGCGTTGTCTTGTAGACACAATCCAATGCACATAATGGATTTTTTCTTTTTATTCCTTCTGAGTAGAGTTATAAATGAAAGGTCTTATTGAATTTCACATTAAATTTTAAAAAGCAGCCAAAACGTAATGAAAGTGGCAAGTGGGATACCTAAACAAAACCTGCATGGGCCCAAAGGTACAAGACCTGCTCTGGGCCCGAACGGGCTGGCCCACAATGGGCCATCATGGGCTTAATGTGGGCAGCCCGCTAGTGTGGGCTGCTCACAGATAGCCCGCGGTGAGCCCAAAGCTGTGGGCCTCGCCTGGGCAAGCCCGCACTGGGCCTGTTTAGGTTTGGTGTGGGCTGGCCCTAGCCCACTGTGCCCACAAAAAGCCAGCGTGGGCCCCGCAGGGGCATGTTTGCAGGGTCTATTACTACCATCTATTGGCTGCAAGTTACGATGAACTTGAATGCACATTAGGGGATGTTTACACCTGGCCACTTCATGCGTTTTCTCAGATCGGAAAGCTATCTGATTTATCAAAACAATTCTACTTAAATCTGCTCACAAATGCGTTTTCGCAAAACGGATATAAATCGCGCTATATGCAGATTTAATGGAGTTCACGTCACCGAAAGCAACAGATATGAGCTGCATTTGATAGATCAGCTTATTTCAAAATCAAAAGACCGAGAGAGAGCGCGGCAACAGCCCTGGTAAGATCATTTAGTTTATTTACTTTTAATGAGTATTGTCTGCGACTTACTTTCACTTTAATCTGCAATAGTTTGCACGTTAGCTTTTTGAATAGATGCTCAGCTGCCGTGATGCGTGCGTGTTGCAGTACTAGCGTTGTCACAACTTGCTATAACATTACATAGCCTATAACACGCTCTCACACTTTTATTTCTTAGCGTTTTTGGGATGAGTAAAATTTAGATACGTGGTTTCAACAATCAGATGCATTTGATTTACACTTGTGCAGGTTTGTCTGGAATCTCGTCTCAGATCTCCTCCTGAAGAAGTGGTTTGAGTGATCGGATTTAAATCATCTCGAATGCGCTTCGGATGGCATTCATATCTGGTATTTTCACGATCAGATAGCTATCAGATCACAGAACACGCATGAAGTGGCCAGGTGTAACATCTCTTCAATGAAAGGCATTTAGGAGATTATCCACACTAATTTTTCCCCGGCCTTAATTTGAGACCGGCCTTTATTTGTCCGGGTTGATCACGCACCCGGCCACTATCAGAGGCCCGGCGTTTATTTGAATACCGTTTTTTATTTGAGGTATTACGGTATATATATATGTCTATGTGTGAGGGGTCAACAGGTAGTTGGGAGGTGTTGACACCGGAAGGGCAAACAAGTTTTTGACCGCTACGGCGGAGTTTGATAAACGCTGTTGTCGTGTTAAGTTTTGGGAATCTTCGTGCTTGTGGACCTTGTTCAACATTAGCCGCCTGGCGTGTCATAACAAGTAGCTACGGGACAACAACTCTAGCACAGTACTAGACTGGCGGTTATACATTGTGTTACAGTCATGGTTACAGTATGAACTGAAGTCACTTACTTCTCTTTCTAGTTTCTGGATTTCCAGTTCTAGTTTCCTCAGTGTCTTGCGTTTAATTTGCATCTCAAGGTCCATGTCCTGCAGCTTTCTTTTGTTCACATTAATCTTGACTTCTGTCAGCTCGATCTGTCTCTTAAGATGCGTTGT